GATACCTCCTGTGCAGCTTCGAGGTCACACTCACTTAAGCAATGATAAACGAGCATGAAACACTGTTCGCACAAAACAAGATCATAAATACTCAATCCTTAGTTAAAAAAACCCAACAACTTCAGACAGCTGTAGCATCTCGCTGTTTCCATGATTTTATGGATGTTCTCACTCTTAAAAATGTACCACAGAACAGTGAAAGGAGACTTTTTGTAGGTTTAAAATAAAGGAAAACCACAGAGTCATCCACCCAGAGCAAATATCGCATGACCCTACACTGGGTAATACAAAAAACCATCGGTGAACATTACAATTTATAACAGCTTTTGGTATCCCAAGGTCTGACATCCATCCGTCCATCCTTCTGTCACAGAAAGCTGCTTAGGCAGAGAGGATGCAGACTGTTTGGGATATAAACATCAAAAGCTGTGAAATTCAGTTGTTGCCAGGGACTCCTCTATCCAAGTACTGACAGAGGTGGGAAGCCATTGGTTTGCAATGGAGAAAAAAGGGAAAAGTCCATGGGGAAGCAGCCCTTGCAGTTGTGCTTTTCCCCTAAGGAGTTATCTCTACAGGCTCCAGCTGCTTTTAAGACTTAGTAAGGGCTATTCCTGAGGATGTTTGCTGATTACAGTTAGATCAGTGACAGCTTGGGACAGGACGCGCTGGCAGCTGTGAGCACCCTGTCCTGCTTCCCATCACTGGGATTTACAGGGTACAACATGAAGGGCATCGACCTTTCTCTGCCCAGTCCTCCCACTACCAGAAGTCTGTCATCCTCAGACTACTCAACACTCAGCCAAACACCTCTTTATAGAGAATGACATAATTTTGGCCATTTACATGACAAGAATTAAATCTAAAACCAGTAATGACTAACCATGCTTGAGGACAGCCTGAGACACAGCGTGCAGCAGCCAGCACACTGGCAGCCGGTGACCGTGCTGCTGCGCGGGGCACCCCCGCTCTGCCACGGCCAGCCTGCCCCTTCCTGCCTTGGCGGACACACCTGCTGCTGGTCATCGTCTTCGTTAGTCTGTAGTACAGACTAAATCCTTTGGTACTAACACTGCAAACTTTAATAACCTCAGCTACATCTAAAAGCTTAGGAGCAATCAGAAATTGCATTTTATCCTAATTTTCTGTAATGCTGAAAACGAGAGTTCCTTACTGGCTTAAGACAAGATTTTTGAAAAACAGTTCTAAATATTTTCATTCAGGAGGAGGTCTGTCCCACTTTTACAAACCATGAAAGCATTTATGCAACATGTTCGTTATTATTTATATCTTTGTAGGGTTTTATAAGTTTCTATTTAGTTCTATTTCCTCCAGGAAGTTCAAAGAATCATCACACACTTACTTGCTTGCCAAAAGCAAACTGGGAATTAACATCGAACTGTCTGCATGTGGCCATACACGCATACGAAGCCCCACACTCACACAAACACCCTTCCAATTTATAGTCATTACTTCGTTTTTAACATCACTACGCAGGTGGGAGCAATCACTACCATATTGTGGAGTAAGAACAAGTTACCCAGCTATATTTTATGTACCAAACACTGGAATTATTAAATTTACTGCTAGAACTATCTATAGTGTTGTGCCATGTGCATTCAAATATGCTGGAATTTCTTTGTTCTGGAAAGTATATTAAGAGACAAAGCACACAATATTGCTTTAGTCAGAATTTTTTACTTGTATTCCTACAAAATCATGTAAACATTAGCATACAGAACCAGAAAAATCAATATAATATAATGGTGCGTATACTGTAAGTTTAGAAGAATGTCAGGAACACGTCAACAATTTATAATATATACAGTAATGGGTACTCATCATTAGATAAGAACACCTCAAAACCGAGGAATTTAGGTGCAAGAGCTGTAAAACCACAGAAGTGCTCCAACACCAAACTTGACTATGAGGCAACATGGCGGCCTACATGACTGCCTGTTGTTGTTTCATATTAAGCATTCAATTTAGCTGCTAAAAAGTATAAAACAAAAGGTTTGGTAGGAAGTTCATTTTTATTTGCAATCAGATAGCAAACATCCTTAAAGTAATAACCCCCCCCAAAACCAGAATACTCCATAAACAGGTTTCTAGTAGAGTGAAACTGAAGCTTACTAGGCTGCACAAAGAGATCATCGGCATCTCCGTTCCATGCTACTTCAAACAGAGCACCAAAAGGCATCTCTAGCTAAAGAAAACTTTTCAGGTTGTTTATAAACCCAGAGTGGTGGGTGGAGAGAAAAAGAAAGGAAGATGCAGAGCATGTATCAGGCTGATGCAAAATTTCTGCATCCACATGCAGCATTCTGGGCAGTTTAGCTCTTTATTGAACTAGAAAGTCACGGGAATGTAACACCGCTGTTAATCTGGTAACTCTGGGCTATTCTGCTAAAAAAAAACCAAACAAACCCAAAACAACAAACCCACCCAGAACCCAAACCAAACCAATACAACCAAGAAAAATACAATCTTCAGCCTGTCTGCGATCAAAGTCATATTCAAAGTGTTCTTACACCACTGCCCTTTAGGAGATCAGGGACACGCAGTCAAATGCAGGATGTATCACTTTCATTCAGATGACACATTAAACAGAAAATTAGCTATTATTTTCCTTTTCTCATGTCCATACAACCATATTTCACAGGGGGGGGAATAATGTATGGTAAACACATTCAAAAGAACGATCTCAAATAAAAGGCATTCTTCTCCATCTTAGAAAACTCCCAGATGTCACTGAAAACACAGACTGCATAAAATGACTAGGATTACCCTGGAAACACCTGACACAGCAACAACTCTCTTAACTGGATACCCTATAATGTGATCTTCACAGAATATTTCCGAAGTTAAATATATTTTTCTGTTTCTAGATTTGAAGTAGAATTTTATGCCATCTTAATTTTGGGACCTTATTTTTTCATACCTGACCAATCACTTCCCCTCACAATGAAAATTAATATTGCACTAATAAAGATGTATTTATTTACAATAAAGGGGAGGTCACATCTAGCCACCTAAAGCTTTTTGCTGTATTTTCTTCCAGTTGTTTAGGAACAAATTCTGTTCACCTTTTCTATAGGAAATCCTGAGTAGTAAGGTTAAGAAGGTTTGGCAGATAGCACCAATTTTCCATCTCTTGTCTTAATTAACAGGGTACATTTACCATCAGCAATGCATCTAACAAGCACTATCATAGCTGAACCTAAAATGCCCAAATAAAAGCTTACTATAAAACACTGTTATTCCTATTGGCAGGATCTGAAACTCTGAAACACCACGAGCAGGAGAAAGTACTTCCTCTAAGCCTGAGGACACAAGTTGCAAACACAGAAAAAGGCCTGAAAATCTACCCCATTATGGATGGGGGTGGAGACAACTACAGCTGGTGAGAAGATCAGAAGAAACCCTTAAACTGCCATGTCTGAGACTCCCAAGCAACATGCTTCCAAGCTGCCTGCTTAGCATTCATGCAAAGGTGCAGCACTCTGACACTGTTTATAAATGATCCAAACTCTTTGCTGTTTCTTCCACCGGAGCAGCTCAAGCAGCAAGTGCTTCACTGTAAGCCAGACCGACAACACCTTCCAGCGTTTAATCACCATGTTGTGTTTCAGGGTTGGAGGTTTTATCCAACATTAGCCAAAGAGGTTTGTTGGTATCAGAGCCTTAGCTCACTACATTTCCTGCTCCAGTTTTTACCTGTATTGCTAAACTGGTAATAGCAACCATAACGGACCAGAAAATATAACAGAGAGGCTAAACTTAGCAATTTGGGCTTAAACTGGGTTTAAACTACTAATAGACCAACATTTCACTGGATTGGCCCTGTACAAAGACCTGGAAAAGCTTTATCACAGATGTATCTGCAGTTTTGTGTAAGCTATTAACGTACTACAGCAACACTAATTTGGTATTCACAGAGATAGTAATAGCACAGTTTTTACATATCTTTTGCCTCCTCTTCATTGTTATTGTTCCAAATCCTAAAGATAGGCATAAACTCCTAACAAGACCTTATCCGCAGCCTGCAGACCTTCCTCCCACTGATATGTGACTTCCATCTCCTCACTCACATTATCTCAGGGGATCTTATACTCACAGATGTGCATGTTGTGATAAAGGAGAACTGATATGACAATATACACATAACTAGCAGACCTTAATTCAAATGATATCACCGACAACAGTGAACCTTGAGAAACTTCAAATACACTAACAAGTCTAAGACTTTGTTCAATGTTGTGACTGATAGCACCAACAACATGGTATTGAAGAGTTCTGCGTGAAAAATGTTTCCCCCTCTGCTTCTAACTTTGGTCACGTTTGTCATTTTCCCACCCTCCTATACTTCATTTTTTCTCTAGTTCTTCATGCTCACTTTTATGTCTGATTCGATATCGACAATGAAGTTACAAAATGCATTACAGCTCCTCCAGAATCTTTCAATTTTTAACCATTTATTAAAAAAAAATAGATTAAACCCAGGACATTTTAAGTTAAATGAATTAAAAACTTGGTAAGAACAATGAAGGTACTGTGACAGTCTTAAGGAGTTAATCAAAGTATGACAATTTTCAGTAAGAATGATCATAACTTCTCTCCAAAATCATCTCAGGAGTTACATGGCTGCCTGTACTCCAGCACTAAGCTTACAGGAGAAATCTAGGTAAGATCTCTGAAAAATAAAGGTAAAGGTGTACAGAGCAGTCTTCTAATGTCTTTCAGCAATCTCTTCACTGACAGACAAAGATGTACCAAAATATTCTGCTTAACAAGGTATAATGCAAACCAGATTTACCAAAGAAATCTTTTCGTTGAACAAGGTTCTCATGTGTGAAACCATCAAACAAAAATCTCCTCTTTCAAAAGAGGTTTTTTGTTTGTTTGTTTGGGCATTATACAAAACTACCAATGCAGTTAATATATATATACACAAGTTAAGCCAATTCATACATTATACCCAGCAATTCACACAATATATCAGTGGGAGGAGATGAACAATAAATCTGATCAAATAAATTTATTTTAATCCTCAAAGCACAACCCTTTTTCTTCATCATCATCATCAGTAGAATCTGCATAGGACTCAATGGTGTTGTATATGAAAGAATACAGCTTGACATCTGGTCCTGATGTAGAACAGCTTCTGCACTCTTCATTGTAGTATCTCAATAACAGCTTATAAACGTCCCCTTAAAAATAAAAAGAAATAATAAAAACCATGTCAGATCATGCTATCTGAAGAATGTATGATTGCAAATGAAGACTAGCAATGCACATGTACACTCACACTCAAGACAGTGGCTAGAAACATCTGTTTAAATGAGGAGTGGAAGAGGAGGTAGACAGCCGTGTAAGGGGAATGTGACTGCTTCCAGGTTTGTTCAGGACACAGGGTGGGCTCCCCCAACTTTGTGGAGCATTCTGCACCAGCTACCCAAACGTTAGGCTTGTACAGGTATTACTTACAAATGTATTGCCAATTACTTAGCTTTGTGCTTCTGTCCCAGAAATTAAACCATTACAGCGGGGCAATGGTTATGCTGCTTTTCTTGTATTGCTACTGGACAACACATCTGGCCACATCTTGCAGGATCAAGCCAGAATCACTGTATGACAAACCTGTATCAAGAATGTGTAAGCAGATTTTCCCCTTTTAAAGCATTTTGAGTTATATTCAAAACTTTTCCAAACCTTCTGTCTACCACACTTATCTGTAATTTCCAAATTCTGGAGTGTAACTCCCAAGTGAATTATAAAAGGATTCTAGGAGTCTTCTAGCAGATTAACACTGCGCAGTTCACCCTGAATCAGAAGAGTTCCCCACTCTGGAAACCAGGTGCAAATAAATAATAAATTGAGACCCATTTGCTTCCGTTCAGGACTTCATGACAATGATTTTTACTGGACAGTTTCCACTTAAGTGACAGGTAAGTCTCTTTGCTGCATGAAGAGATTTCTTTATGCTCACCAATAGTTTGGCCCTTCTCACAGAGAAAAGTGTGTATGCTGTAAATATCCCGCATCAGCTCCACATCTCCAAAGGTAAAATAAACAACATCACGTCCAGCCTCAGCAGCTGCCAATAACTGTATTAAGGCTGAAACAATAAACAAGTTTATACACATGAATACAGGACGAAACAATTTGCTGAAGGGAAAAACATAGCCTAAGTTTACAGCAAATAATCATACCACCCATCTCTAGGTGAACACTGCAAAGTGATTTGAAAATGGGTACGGGTAAGTATTACTTCTGCTTTTACAACATGGTAAAGAACAGTGGGCGCTGCAGCTCAAAGTATTGAGGTATGCTGCTGGACTCACTAGTGACAACCACCCTTACTTTCCAGACAAACAGTGTGCTTAAAAATCAAAGGGGTTTTTTCCAGTCCACCCCCAAGCAGCATGCAGCTGTTAATTTTCCAATAAACGTGTGTGACAGTGTAAGACGACAGGGCACCATCTTACACCCTGGTTTAGGCTGCTTGCACCAAGTCACAAACAGTGGGATAAAAAGCCTCCATTAGCACATCACAATTTCCATTCTCTGCCACCCTTCAGAAGGAAGGGAACCAACCCTCTCACTAGGGAAGCTACAAGAAGCAGGAGCTGACCCAACTTTTAGCTCCCAAGAGAAGACCTATGGCTCTGCAGCCTCTTACTGTGCAACTTAAGGTGTACACCTTACCTGTAACAGAAGTATGCAGCACAGAATATGATGGCTCATTCTGACCTATAAAAGCGAGTGGCAATGCCAGGAATGCAATTCAAGGTATTTAACTTCCAGCTTTATGTCAAACTCACTGGACCAAGCTGCATCCCAATTTCCATCAATGACTAATATTACAAAATAGACAGACTTTGTTTTTCTATATGGAAAAGAAAGGAGAATGCTTCCTATCTTGGAAACAGGTTTTTGAAGATTCATCTTGAGAAATCATCTGGCATATTGATCGATGGTCCAGCTGAGCCAAGCTAACGACCCACTGCAACTGGAGAAAGTGGCTCTGGTCCAGCTACATTTTCTCCCTTCTCACCCACCTCCTGACTTTTCTGCAGCTCTCAGGGGCTCATCAGACATCTCACTGTGCCAATTCCATTCACCAATCAAGCAGAAAAGTTATATGACAAAAGAATAAGAGCTAATTGTTTTCTGCTAGATCAGCAGTTGAATTGGATGAGTGATGGGTTGGCTAAGAGCCAGAGCTGATGCCAGGGGGGCACCAGACTACATAGCCAAGAACAGGGAAGGGGAGAAACAGAATCAAGACCATTTTAGGTAGCACCAAACTATTACAAGAGTTTTTTCACCAACCAGCACAGCGAGGCTGGAGTGTCACAGATGCATGCAATCAATCACACATTCATTTTGGGTAATGTTACAACAGTCCAAATAATGGACCCCAGCAATTATTTAATATATTGCAGCTTGTCTTATTTCACAGCCTACAGGTGCAGTTCTGATATTAATTTTTTCTTTTTCTACCCAGTAAGCAGAGTTAATTAAAATGGGATTAATATTGTCTTTGTAAAGATTAATTTTAAATAAAATAGCTTATGTACTGCATTACCACCTGCTAGTGGAGACTAAATAGAAAGCTGTTCATAGATCAGCTCAAGAATCTTTCACATTTTTAAAGAGACCTAATAAAATACTGCATTCTTTAATCAAAAAAACCTCTTGTAAACCCATAGCTAAAATTATAAATTACATGATTCAAATGTGAAATTAATCTCAATCTGGCAATGATATTTTAATTAAACTACTGAGCCAGCTGTGGATTTGGTGAAGCTTCAGTAGTTCAGCTTTTAAAGGGTCTAATTAACTAACTTGCACAGGGGAACAGAACGTAATTAATCTTATTATTCATTCCAAACAAACAATGCAGTTTCACTTTACAGAAGATATTAAAAATATCCTACTGTTTATTTTGAATTGCTATAAATTTTATGACACCAGGGTCAAAATTTATATCAGGAATCAGGCTTCACAATCTTCTGGGCATTAATGATACACAATACCACGTGACTCACCCACACTACCGATACAGAAAGGAGCACCACAGGAAGAGCAATAGAGCCTGTGGTACAGGGGACTAGAAGGATTTGGGCTTTCTTGCCCCTTGCACCCAGCTGATGCGATCCCATTTAACTCTTCTGGACCTGCACCTAAAGGAATGGCTGTGCTGACATACCTTCTTCTACCATGCAGCGAGGTCCCTCTGGGGACACAACTATCCTCACAGGCCCTACACATTCAGTCCCTTGTATCCAGAGGAAAGGATGCTATTTATCACCAGGGACACCCCTACTGTGGTACCTCTGGGGCAGCACAGCCCAAGCCCAGAGATCGGTGCGAGGAAGGTGGCTTCAGACACAGCAGGGGCAAGCAGGGCAGAACTCCGCTACTGCAGGCACAGCAATGCTACACTGGGTCCTGTGTCATTGCCCGTTGTGTAAGTTCAGAACTGCAGCACCTCAATACATGCCTTATATGAGGCAAGAGGCACGTTCTTCTCTCCTTCCACTAATCCTACAAGCGTCTCTTTAAAGCTGATGGCAAT